ACTCTGGTTTTTGTGGGGCAGGCGCTTTGAGGTTGGGGCATCTTGGAAGCTGGCTGAGTCTCTCTTCCTCCTCTGCGCTTACTGTGGCTCACCAGATAGTGGGCAAGATGGACTTCTTTTGTTGTCTTTGATACCATCCCAGAAGAATGGGACTGCAACAACAGAGCATCCTTTGTGTATCATGTGTAAAGATCACATGGTAGCCTGTGTAGACTAGCCTTGATAGCTGGATGGAGAGTAAAACCCTGTAGATACTTAAAGAAAGTTCCTGGAGGATCTGGATGTACGTAAGTGCTTTACCAGGAAGATTTGTGGCAAAGCTGCCATGAACTGCTTGTGCAGTAATCCCTATCATGGATCTTCCTAGTTGTTCTGTATCGGCTGGGGCAACAGGAGCTAACATAGACAGCTCTGAGAACAACTGGCAGCTCTGCAAGCAGCTGGTGCAGCTCAGCCTGTCAACAGCCCTCTCCTCCTTTAGTACTCTTCAGTTTAGAAAGCTGGTCTACTACTCAGGCTCATAGTAGTAAAGCCCCTTCAGTTTGCCAAGACTTAGGCTGTGGTGCTGAGAACAGAGATCACTTGTTGCCTGCTGACATGCATCTTCCAAAGTAACGTTGTCATTGTGATGTGACAAAACTTGGAGAGGTGTTCCTCAAGCTTGGTAGACTGTGGGGGCCATGGCTTGTGTTCCTCAAATACTAAGGTGACTGGGTTGGCTTGTCACTGTCCCTGGCAAACACACCTGGAAAAAGCCCTTTGCAGCCTTTCCTGGAATCAACTGCTAACCTTTGCTCCAAAATCAGCTCATATGACAAAACTTAAGAACTCAGAATTGGAAGCACCCTTGAGGGAAAAAGTAAGCAATGCCTGAGTCTAGGTGCCCTAAGGAGATTTTGATTAGTAATGTTTCTCTCCCACTTCAGGAATAAACAAAACATTTATTTTAGGGATGGATGAGGTTTCTTACTTGAGTTCAAGGCAAATGGTCCTCATTTGAATTTAAAATTATGAGATCTCTGCATAAAGTACATCCAGATACCCCAACAGTCTTTCAGATTTGCAGAGAATGGATAAACCTTGGTGTCTGACACGCGCAGGGAACAAAATGTATTGATTGGCCCTGGGCAGCTGATTAATCAACTTGACCAGGCTGCAGGCCTGGTTTTGAGCCAGTGGTTTCAAGGAGAGTGAAGAATTCAATTGCTAATGGCATAAAGGTCTTGTCCCCTCCCACTGCTGTTGTTCAGAAACAGATCTCACTATACTCCTTTCTAACAGGGTCATGCTGTTTCTCTTATGTAGATGCTTTATTTCTTTCATTCTTTTCTCTTTCTTATTTCATACTGTTGCCCTTACCTCTTGGCATCAGAAGTCAGTTTACTGTGATCTTTATTGGCATGATGAGAAGAAAACTTAAATTGGTTGAATAGTGAATTTCCTATCTATCTTGAGGACAGTTGCTTGAGAGACAGCTAGGTCCTCCAGTTTGCTAAGAATGGATCTTGTTATAGAATGGGAAAATATAAAATAATCCTTCCATGTCCTGTTACCCAGTTATTACATACAAAGCCAAATGGTTGTCTGTAGCCAGATTGGTTTTTTGTGTGCATTTATGTATTTACTTCATTTCTGAGAATTGGTTATTAAGAAGAACTGAAAGTTTTATGGCCAAAGAGTAATTAACAGAAGAGAACAACGATATATGAAATGGACCATATCAAGCAACAAAATGTAGAAGCTAAAAAATCAACAACTTGTATGTGTGTGTGTATATATATATATATACACATAATATACTTTTTTTTTTTTCTCCATAGAGGACTCTTTATTCTGACTTTGATGGAGCAAGCTGTTCTTAGGGGATGCTTTGGTTTTGCAGAGAACTTCAGCGTAATGCAACTTCCTCTGTCTCTCACCTGAAATGGTCTGTGGAGGTGCCAGTTTAGTATGCTTGGTTGCTCTCCGTAGTGCATGAAGTGAGTCAGTTCTGCAAGAACAGCATTGGGTTTTGTTTTGTGCATCCACTTGTGATGTAGCACCACGTGTAAATGCATGTGCTGTGGTCTGCTCCTAGGAATCGGGCTCAAGAGCACTGGGAATCACATAATGTCACCAGGAAAGGATCTGGTACATGATGAGCAAGGGTAAAGTTTTTCATGGACATTCCTCTTCCTTTAAGGTTGTCTGACCATATAGATCAAAGATCTCATTTTGAAAGCTGATGCTGTATTACTGGGTTACTCTGTTGTAAAACAAGGTGGCTTTGGTGTAAAACCATAGAAATTATGCATCTCACGTCTGCTTGTACTCAAAAGGGTTAATGTGGGATTTTAAGAGGAGGAGAAGCCTGAAATGTCTCATGTGCTCCAAATGCATTTTCCAGACTGTAAGGCTTTGTTCCTTGTGTTTGCAAATCTGGCTAATGTAGTTCTTTATGGCTGAGCAGAGGTGAGTGTCGAGTGAGGTCTCCCAACACAAGCAACTTCTCTTCAGCTAGTGAAGTATCTCATGGCAATGGCACTTGCCCTCTGGGTCTGCAGAGGAGAAAATGGAAAAACTGTTACCAGATGTGTTGTATATGCCAGCTCCTGTCAGGCTGCACTGGCTGAAGAGACCCATGCGATGCTGGAGAGCTGCTGCAAGTTGTTGGAGAAGGTGGCCTGCATGGAGGGAGCTCCTCTCAGCACAGCCGTGTAGTTAGGTCTCTCGGAGCGGGGTGGGAGTTGGGAGGAGTGTATTGAAATCCCTGTAGGGTAAGCAGGATGGTTAGCAGCAGTGTGAGCAGCCATCAGCCATCCTGCCCTGTCCATAGGTATGAGACAGATGAGGTCAATGCTGTAGGTCCCTCTCGTTCTTGCTGTTCCTTGTACTGTCCTCCCCTCCTGTCTGAGAGAGCTGTCAGCCTGCGATAAGTAGCGTTGCTTTTAATCTGTTTGGAGATGAGGTTCAGCAGCATGTGGGCTGTAAATTGCAGACGGAGCTCAGTCGCTGTATCTTTGTGCAGGGTGGATGGGGCCCTGTAATGGAAGAAGAGCTTCGGTCTTTAATCCTTCAGGCTCCTTCTTGTCTTCCTGACTGCTGTGCTTCGTGGTGTCAGCGCTGCTAAATAGCACTGATCCTGCAAGATGGAAGCCAGGGGAATGCAGAGGCTTCATGCTACGAGTTGTAAGGAGCTGAGTAAACTCTTCAAAAGGGCTGACAACAGCAGGACTAGGGGAAATGGATCCAAGTTGAAGGAGGGAAGATTTAGGTTGGATGTTAGGGGGAAGTTCTTTACTAGGAGAGTGGTTAGGCCCTGGAACGGGCTGCCCAGGGAGGTTGTGGATGCCCCGTCCTTGGACGTGTTTAAGGCCAGGTTGGACGGGGTCCTGGGCAACCTGATCTGAATGTGTATGTTTGGTGGCCCTGCTAGGCAGGGGGGTTGGAACTACATGATCCTTGGGGTCCTTTCCAACCCGGGTGATTCTGTGATTCTGTGAAAGTAGGTGAGTTGAACTAATATCTGTCAAATTTAGTATCAGTCAGTATTTCCCTGCTATTTCTCTGTGTCAGTTGTATATGTCTTTCACTCGGAGGCACCTAATTAAGTGTAGTTGCACTTTTGGGTGTCTGGGAGGCTGAAACACTCAAAGGACACTTCCCTGGGAACAGTGGAGGAGGGGAGATGAGTCCGTATCGTTATAATGGTTGCTTGCTGCCTCACCTTATATAAAAGTCAAGCACAGCTCATGAAACACTTTTCAAGTGGAAACACAGCATGTAACTTTTGAAACCCTTTATCACTGGATACTGTTGTGGCCAGGTAATTTCTGAGACTCAGAGAAAGCTAAGAGTGATCGAAATATTAGTTGTTATTTGGGATAAAATGTGTAAGGGATAATAAGGCTCATCTTGCAGTGATGGTATTATTCCAGAACTCTCTCTTGTGAATGTTTCTGTTGAAGTATTGCGTTATCCTTTGACTCATTTCTTTTTGTCACTGCCAGAAGCACATAGTAAGCTGTGTAGCTCCAAGGTTTGATCAGGTGTAATAACTTCCAAGTATGCCCTGTGCAGCAGATCATAAGTCAGGAACTAGGGAGGTAGGGTTTCCTCTACATGTAACCAGCTCCTGCTGAGTTTCTGATTTGAGCTGCAAAAATTTGGATTCAGATCTCAGTCCTTCTCAGTAGGTTGCCACCAAGTTTGCTTAGTGTTAGAACACATAGTGTAAGTGGTATTTGGGTGTGCAGTAAGTGGCTTGCTCTAGTCCATTGGCTGACTCAATGCAAATATCTCTGAAAATTCTAGATAGGAAAAATACATGAGTTGTCATTACTCTTAGGGCAGTTATTTAAGGGTGTTTAGTTAAATTCTAAGTATTGGTGTTAGCAGGGAGAGTATAGTGTTGTCACATTGCTGTAGAAGCCTGTTTCTTTTATTTCTGTTATATTCTTCAGAGTCATGCTGTAAGGAAAGTGATATGTCTGTTCTTTTGTGGCTTGTGTGTGTGTCTTCAAGGGGAAGTGTGGGTACATACATAAGATGGCTAAAGTTAACATGCCACATCCACTTGTGGGTGCCTTGCGAGATGATAGTGCTGTTGACAGGATGCCTTTTTTTTTTTTTTCTCCTCTTTCCCCCTACAGTGATGGGTTTTGAAGATTCAGTTGTCCACATGATGTGGATGTGGTAGGCCTTGATGGTTATAAACAGTGCATCTGGGGAGCTAAGGACTGGGTACATTCGTTGTGCTTGGGAAAGAATTGGTGATGCAGCAAGGTGGAAATAGTGGTAGGTTGTTTGTTCTGTGTTGCTGCAAGTAAGAGGATGTGATGGGAGTTTGAGGTTGGGAGATGAGGATGTGTTTACAGGGAGGTGCTATGGTGGGGTGTGTGCGGTTAGATGAGGGGATGCCTGCAGGATATGAGAAGGGAAGGGTGGGGGAAGTGGCTTGGGCAGCAGCGAGGCAATGCTCAGTATCATGATGAAGCCTTTTCTTTCTCTTTGCTCCCTAGATCTCCTACCCCCCAAGTGATGAGGACAGCGATGACTCTGAGGGAGAGAATCAAGAACTTGTTCAAATCGACAGAGGTAAAGGGACAAGTTAGGAGGGTCCTGGAATACTACAGTTGAAGTGTGTTTTGATTTTTCATGTGTGCTCTTGCAAATGCCTCCTTCGCAGTCCCCCCTGTACCACAACCAGATACATTAAACTGGGCACCTTGAAGTTTTTGGAACCTCACAGAGAGAAGTGATATCAGATGCTGTAGTCACGCTTTTCTTATCAGTCACGGATATTGTTAACCACACATTAAGCTGGTAGTACTATAGATGTGGGATGGTCAGTATCTCCTATCAGGTCAGCAGCAGAGCCGGGAGTGAGAATGCATCTTCTGTTCCATACTTGTGCATCCACACTGTCTTTGTTCTAGGTTTTATCTTCCTTTTTGCTTCCAGTTTTGATTTTCCTTTCCCTGTGATCCTGGACTCATTTGTCTAATTATCTCCATCTTGCACCATTGGTATTGGGTACCTCTGTTACTGAATCTAGCTAGGCATTTGGGATAGAAGAAAGGTGTTCAGGCGTCTTGCCATTGTTTTTGGATGTGATATTTTTTTATCTGCAGGAATTGCATCTGTTGAGTACAGTAAGTCTCTGCCCTTTATACATGCCCTATGTTTTATCACAGTTTGGCCAAATTCAAGTGGATTTTTATGCAAAGGCAGGAGAACTCAAATTCCTGACCCAAGAGCATGTCCAGCCAAAATTGAAAGTTGTCCTCATGTACTTACCTCCAGAACGGGTATAGAGTATACTAAGCTTATGGCTGAAGGCAGGCTCTTTTATATGAAAAATTTTGGAACAGGAGAAGGACATTTAGCTCCAGAAAGCAAATGTGCTATTTGAGCTACAGACATGCTTCTTAAAATATTCTTAAAATTCCACAACTTATGTGTTTCCTCTGCCCTGAGAACTGGTCACTGGAACTTAATATTTTAGCTGGAGGTAAGGGCCTGACAGAATGCATGTAGGACTGCGTTCTCTCTGCCTTTTGGGGTTAAGGTGGGCAGCAGGTCCATGTTCTTACTGGGTGACAAGACTTCTAGCTAACAGTTTGTGAGCAGTATGGTCTAAAGAAAGATCTGGAAACTTCTGTGGGAAGCATTCAGCAGAGATATTTCTTCTGGGAAGAAAATGTGGAAAACAGCTCAGAAGTTTTCTTGGGAGGAAGTAATGAAAATGGGTCAGGAGAAATGAGGCCCATTTCATGGCATGAGATAGAGATCTGCTCTGTCATTTCTCTCTCTCTCTCCCCACCAGAGAGAAGACGGAATTGTACCTTGACCCCTCTGGCCACCAACCAGCTCCAGAACCAGGAGAACCAATGCTGCAAGGTCCGAGCTCTTCTCCATGCCAGCCTGGATCGCCACAGCTCGGAAGAGGAGCTGGAGCGCATCAACCGAGAGTTTGCTGCTGAGAAGCGGAAGTGGTCCCAGGTCAGCAGGCTTGCGTGCTGCAGTGACAGCAACAACACCTCCTCCAGTGACGAAGAAGTGAAGAACTTGTGCGCCATGTCCTTCCAGCCTGTTGCAGAGCAGGCTGATGGTCTGCATGCAAGCCCAAGCCCTGTGCTGTTCAGTGCCTCCCCTCCCAAGAGACTCCAGCCTCTGGTGCGCAACCCAGCCTCGAGACCTTTAATCTTGACGAGTGTTGGGACAGGCCTTGAGCAAGTCATGCCATGTAAGAGACATCGGCAAGGATATGGGGATAAGATCTGCAGGCCCAGCCTTGACCTGGAAAAAATGCAGCAGGTAAGGCAGAACTTCATACCAGGAAAGTGGCATCACTTGAGAGGAGGTGTTGTAAGCTAAAGTGGAAGAGGATTATTGAGGCAGGGCTCAGTAAACTCAAGAAGTTGTTTCCTGTGATTGTGCCTTCAGAGGCATAATTGATTCTGCAGTTCTTCTGCAGTCTGCCTAGGATAAATTAGTTTAGATACCTCTTTTAAGAGGTAAGATTGCTGCAACTTTAACGGCTTCTGCTACAGTTGTGCCTCTATCTTGGTACATGTTAAGAATACAACACATAGTCTGGATTATTGAATGACATAGGAACAAAATCACTGGAATTCAGTCAGGTTATTCCTGCTGCCATGAACTGACTCATGCCATTTACTCTGATAGGAATTAATTGTTCAGGGGTGTATGAATGAGCACCTGTGCAGTGGAAGTAGGTGTAGATTTGACGTTAGGTACTAAGTATCTGTGAGTTTCTTGACCTCTTTGGACTTGTCTTTTTATTCTTTCTGCGAGTTTTACAGCAATGTAAAACTATACTTTTTATATCCTTAATAGTTTACAAAAGCAAACTGCTTTAGTGCAGTTACTCTTGATTTTGCTCTAAGGGGCTGGGGCTGAGGTATACTTTGCCCAGAGTGGTCAGCTGAGGAAAAGACATAGGGCATACCTGGTATAAGATGTGAGTTGGCCTGCACAGTGCCTGTCTGTTGCTGCTCTTCAAATAGGTGCTGCTGCAGAGTTAGTATTGCAAACTGCTCTTCATTATTTGTTTTTCTTGTAATGGTAAAGTGTCAGTCTGAAAGAATATCTGCAGACATCTGCTGACCCTGCTAAATTGCAGTAATTTAAAGACAGTTATTTTGAGTCCTGAATTTCCTCTCATTAGGGACGAATTTTGCTGCCTCTGGTTGGCTGGATGTACTAGATCTGACCTCATGAAGAATGTTGCCATTAAGCCAATGAGATGGACCAGTTGGGGGGGGGG